TTTGCTTAAGGACGTGGTCCATGAAGTAAAAGATTGACCACGAGATTTACTCGGTGCATATGCGGCACAGCGATAAGGAAATCTGCAGCGTAAAGTTAGGTTGCTATGGCAATTGAGGATCCAAACTTTAGGGACTTGCTCAGTGAGACAGAGTGTAGAACAAAGCTTGTCCGACACTAGAACAGCCCCCACCTTAGCAACCCAGAGCAAAAGATTTTAACTGTTTAGTCATATAACTAACTTTCATAGCCATTTGTGCTTGGTTTACTCGATTCCTGTTCTCCCTTGTGTATGGATCCTCAAGACCTGTAGGTACTAGTATTAAGTCCTTTGCAAAATACATTATATCGGAACACATAAGTCCCTTGGACGTGTATAATTTTCCTTTAGATGAGTTTATCACCTTCCAGTTGTATACTAACCGTTATTGGGTTTTACTTAAATCCCGAATCGATGCTGACTTGGGGTTGGTACAAAAATGAGGAGTAGCTTGTGCTAACTAGAGCAGAATAAGGGTGTATCGATGATAATGGAGCCATGAACTAGTCGGTACAATCATACTATACCGACAATGTAGAATCTGCCGTCGTTTTTAAAGACAAAAAAGCGTATTCCTTTACTTTGATTCTGAAAAGATGCAGTACACAGAAACGTAGTATAATCTTCTTGAGGTTTTTGTAGTATCACTTTATTTGTAATTCAGTCACTCCATCAAAAAAAAGCATCGGTTATGGCTAGTGAATTAAGAAAATGGTATTAAATAAGAATATTTTAAGGAGAAATCTATAGACCTTAAGGCCTGTTAGAACAAAAGACAAAAGACAAGAGTTTGCGCACCTGAAGCTGACACCTTCTTGGAATCAGCTAGACTCTTTTTAGAGGTAGCCTGCATAGTTTTCATACGGTCGCCAGCCTCTACAAGACGATCATGTGCCTTACTGGTCGTCACTCCAGCCGAGCTCACAAGCCCAACCTGCTGGTTGAGCTCTTCCTTCAAAGTTTTGCGTTTTCCATTCAACCGCACCAGCAGATCCTGCCAACTGGAGGCGTCATCTATGATGGTATTACTTGACTTCTCCATGGCGACGCGAGCTTCTTGTAGGGCAAGATCAGCGGCGGCTACATTCTCTTTTATGGTGTTAAAGGCATCACAAGCCTGGTTACCACGATAAATTACCGTCCGGTTCAGCGTGTCGACAATGGCCTGGGCAGATTGAGACAACTGGACAACCTGCTGTTCCAAATCACTGGGAACATGTAGCCGGGAAGGATCCAGGGAGTCTAATGATCCGAGTTGCTGGGTGATGCGACTAGCTTCCACCAAGAACTCTGGTAGGTTGAAGGAACCTCTAACCTGTGTAAGGTCATCGAGTCGGACAGTAAGTAGGCCAGATTGTTCTCGAAAACGCTCCATTGTACTTGCCTTAATCGTGGACTCGATGAGTTCAGTAATGTTATCGACAGTTAACTGTGGGGAAACATGAGAACAGGAAAAATGAGGAGAAAAGATTATATTTATACCTGCCTAGACATAATCATCCTGCACAAAAAGGAAGAGAACGTATAACAGAAAGCTTAAGTATTATTGAGCAGAAACTTTACCCCTTAGTTAGATGCTCGAGGATTATCCTTCTATGCGGTTAGTTTATAGGCCTAAATTGGTGATATAAATTTCCAAAAAAATACGATGGTGAAAAAAAATGTCCATCTTATCTGGCACAGACCAACAATCACTGCCTAAACCACCAATTGAGCAATCGGTTACCTCCAATCCTGCTTGCAAACTATATGCATGTCAAATCTCATGACAACAAAAATTTTTGGACTGCGCAAGTCATTTCGTCAAAATGAAATTTTCCTATGTCTGGTAAAGAAAAATAAAATTATATTGCAATACACAAATAATAATTAATAAAGGATATGAAAGCCAAGATGGTGTGGCTTTCGGTATGGTCGCAATCTCCTTTCAAAGCATAGAAGTGGGTTGACCTCGCTTTCGCAACTTGGACACACTTTGTCTAGAGTCCTCTGCCATAATAAGTCTCACAATTCCCAGCGTCAGACTGTGGATTTGGGCTATTCTCAGACGTTTCGCCGGCATCGTTCGTGAGTCTTGCCATTCTCAGCACCAAGCTACAAATCGTCAAAGAGGTAAGTGAAGTCAGTCTCTTGACCAACTTGCTGCCGAAACGGTTATGCAGAAAGATGAGTAATGGCACACTTCACTTGTCTTTTTGACGAGTTGTAGCTTGGTGCTGAAAATGGCAAGACTCATTGATGATGACGAATACGATGCCAGCGAAAAGTCTGAGAATGTACCAAGTTCACGGTTTGACGCTGGAAATTATGATAACTACTATGGAAAAGGACTTCGGACAAGGTACGTCCAACTAAGTCGTCCTGACAACAACAAAAATGTTTGTCATCTCGATATTTTGTTATAACTGTATATTGTTATACCGGTATTTAAACTGTATGTAGATACATGTAGATATATGAGCCTTTCTATCCTGGAGATTAAAATAGTTAAGATATTTATGATTGGATTTATAAAGAATGAGCTTCGAATAAGAACTAAGTCGCTTAAGGAGATTTAAGGAATGAGAGCTAGATTATTTCCATATGATGGACGGTAGGCTTCAAGATCTCATTATAACATTACTACGCAAAAACGGGAATCAATGGTTCGAAGGGCAAATGTAATATTCAAGGCAGGCCAGGACTCACCAATATAACCGCATTATAATGGAACTGCCGATTAGGCAAACAAAAAGCTACATAGTTTGTTCATGAATGGGTTTTCGAGACTACCAGTATATCATATATATGAGGTGTAGTTACGCTTACGGTGATAAGAGGAATGGTAGTTGCATGTTGACACAATGCTATGGGTGGACCTTACGTTCCCAAAAGTTATTCTCATCCAGGGTGGACTGCAGTTTCGACCTCGCGTCGGTCTTATCAACACCCCCAGCGGGAGTCGAACCGTGACAGAGCGGAGTGGGAGCTTTACACGTTAGCCACTTGGCCACACTGCCGCAAGTGCCTCTGTGTCACATGGCATATGAGAATTTCAAAGAACGCCAGGCCTTTTCCCATATCACATTCTTTGGTGGGATTGTCGATGAAGCAAACGTATTTTTGCCATAATAATCGACTATATTACGTATTTTTCGTATATAAGTAGAGTTTCGAGACTACCAGTAAGTCAGTAATATGAGATGCATTCACCCTATTTCGTTTAAGGTGATGAAGGACTTATATCATTGTGGGAAAATTCTACTATCGGTCCTTCATCACCTTAAACGAAATAGGATGAATATATCACATATTACTTGTTTAAAGCAAAAATATATACTCCCATTTATTCGCATGAAGGCTACTTAATTATATTACTGATTTACCGGTAGTCTCGAAACTCTACTTACATACGTAAAATAAGTAACGTAGTATATTGTTATAGCAGATATATGTTTGCTTCATCGACAATCCCACCAAAGAATGTGATATGGCAACAGGCCTGGACCTCCTTGAAATTCACATTGGCCCTGTGACCTAAAGGCACTCGTGGAAAAGTGGTCGAGTGGTTAACGTGTCAAGCTCACATTCTGCACTGTCACGGTTCGACTCCCGCTGGGGATGTTGATC